TTTTTTTTTTTTTTTTTTTTTTTTTTTTTTTTTTAAGTGGTATCTATCAGACATGCGCCCTAGTCTGGGTTGTGGTCCTTGGAGTCTACTGCAGATTCAGTTATACAGCCTTTCTTCAGGAATTGTAGCAATGTTGAAATACAACAGAATACTGAGAAGCCATACAACTTACGAGTGCTTTTGACATTACATGCTTATATATTAATATAACAAATATGATACCATCCAGAGTAGTTGAAACACCCTGTGCATTCACATTGAGGTATAGCAAAACGAACATAACAGAATAAAAAGACGCTAAATGTTAACCACATTCTGCAAGTCTCTCACAGGACTGCTAAAATTGTGTTCTTAAAGCTTAGATACAAAAAGGGACTGGAAACAGAAATCCTGAGTGACCTTTATAAAAATTCATAGTTCCCTGTCCCCAAGTTGCCTATCACATTCCCTGAAAACAAAAGTTTTTTTCTGCTGCTTTTGACCATGCACATCATTGTCTAATGCTCTTTTTGAGAAATATTTGTGTGCAGAGGGCTGCCTATTATGTGAGACGCTGGTCGCATGCACCATTTCCTGAACTGACTTTGAGACAGTTTTTGGGCTGACTTCACTCCCAGGGGGTACCTCTGACTTCAGTAGGTTTACATAAGAAACCAACATATTGCTGGTCTAGAAATTATTTCCTGGAAGAGAGTGTGGTAACTATGTTTTCCTTTACTGTTCCCTGTCTTACCTCTCTTAGTGCTGCTCAGGAGTTAAGTGATGAATGCAAGGATTTCCAGTCTCAAGACATTTTTTAATGAATACTATTGCACTGAAGATCCCTGACAGTTAAATATGATGATATATGGTGCTTGTTATCCTTGACAAGTTTAGCCAAAGACCATTTCTGTTTAAGTTTGTTTGCTTTTCAGTTGCATAAGCTTTCGCTCCATAGGAAAGTTACACTAGTTTAACTAATGGCATGAATTCAAATGTAGTGCAAAAATCCACTTAGTTGGCCAGGTGCAGGTTTACACTAACCAAAGCAAAAAGATGTTTTAAATCAAAAATGAGTATCCACAAAGGAGGTTGTGAAAGTATAATTTAATATAAATTAACATGAAGGTTAAACCAGTACAGCTTTCTTACATACTATATAGGTCCATACCGAATCAGTCTCTTTCTTCCTGAAGACCCATATAAATATCTCTTCAGGAACAGAAAAATCCCCTTAAAATGCTCAAAACCATTTTTTAATGTTAGCTATGTTGTTCTAATGTCCTCTAACAGGCATGATTTTTGTCAGATTTTAAAAAGTTAACAGTGCCAGCATCCATTTGTGGTGTTCCTAGTTGGGAAAGGTCATGTGGCCAGAAGATAGAGTGCTGAATTTGGACTTGAATCTGGCCTCTGTTTCTAGCCAAGCTCGTGGCCTGCTGAAGTACCTTACCCATAATGCCATTTGCCCAAACCTTTTGCCACTTTATATTCCTGGTAGCTTTGCAGATAGCATGTGTTTTCATAGGTCTGAAACCAAAGTACTCTCAGGAAGGTGGTGCCAAGACCAGGCTATGAACGGGAATATCAAGGCATGAGAAGTGGGACTGTAGTAGTAATGAGAAGAGTTTGTTAGAAATCCCAGAGGGGCTGGGATTGTCAGGAGCAGAAGGTCAACAGTGGGAAAAGGAGAGAAGGTACAGAATGTATGAGCGAAGGTCAGAGGTAGGGCTGGCACACAACATGGTAGGGGAGTAGGAAGTAGGGTGCAAAGCAGCAGGCACAGCTGGTTCAGCAGGCAGGAAGGATCCCTTTGAGGGAGGCTGAAATGGTGCTTCCCTACAGTCTTGTAGTATAGGAGGCAACAGGTGAAGAGGCTTTTGATCAGTGAAAAGGAAGGCTGTATTTGCATGAAAGAGGCCAAATTTTAACTCTGAGCTGGTTGCGCACAAATCAGGAACAGGCAGATGGAAAAAATTTGGGGGGTTGAGTTGTGACTTTGAAAGGTCTTGGGCTAGTGATACAAAAATCATTCAGAGGCCCAGTGTAAAGGTTGTAGAGATTTGCCCTCTCATGATATTATTTTTTTGTATTATCCCTTATATTTGAATGGAAGGCGAATCTTTAAATGTCACAACCTTGCCTAGTGACTTCAGTTTGCACTGATAGTAACCTGCAATGATGAAGCACTGAGTGGTGTGTGCTGCATCTTGATTGCCTGCCACCATGCCCCAAGAGTTCCTCCAGTTTGTGGCTGCAATACAAAGGGGTACAATGAAACAGTCAGCAGTGCAGTTAGCTTTATTTCCTCTGTTACTCTCCCAGCCTATATTGTGGGTTGCTTTCCCACTCCCTGCCTTGGCATTTCAGATTTTCCAGTTGTACAGTACCAACTGCTCACTTCTTAGGCTGCTGATCAGGTGCCAAATGCAGATCTTTCAAAGCAGAGAAGGATGCTGCAGTTCACTAGGTTTTAAGCACCAGGTTTGTTGGAAGATTCCTGTGGGAAAGAAAAAGCCATACCATGGTCTCACCTGCGCAGCATACAGATCACTGTTGAAACCTTGGATTAGAAGGCAGTGGTTTCTTTCATCACTATGAGAACATTTGAATGAGGTTTCTTCCCAGTGAAGAATGACACTTGTACCATCAAACATCTCAAATGCATCCTGACATTACCATAGGGTAGTCTACCAGTCATGTCCTCAGATGTAATGTCATCTCCATGTATTCTGTGTGGCTCCTTGGAAGAGATATGCTATTTAACATTTGTTGGCGAGGGAATCAGATGATGAAGGCAGAATTGTGGCTCAGCCTTTACTTTGTGACCCAGAAAATTCAGGAGCCTCCAGGTGGCATGCAAATCTAATAACCACATCTTCAATATTCCCTCTGGTTTTATTCCTTTAACTGATAAGGCTGTTGTATTGCAAGGCAGTATCACAGCTGTCAGCATAAGATCCCATAATTATGGCCAGTTTGGAAAGGACCACTTTGCACTTGTACTCTACTGCTGTATATCAAATAAGAAAGTTCCTCTCTGGATTTTTCTGCAGTTAGTTTCTTGCTTATCCTGGGACATATGACTGCCCTAATAACTGTGCTGTTTCTATTGTTCTATGGATTTCATACTTGGAAAGAAAGCTCAACTGTTCCCTTTATAATTTGAGCCCATCTTATTCCTTGTTTTACTAGCATGTGAAAAGAGCTTTTTTGGTTTAATGTAAATGGTTTTCTTGCCTTTTGTATTGCCTTGTAGGTATTCACTGGGTCAGTGGTTCCAAAAATGTGTGGTCCTCAGATTAGCTGGTAGCCCCTGCTAGTCACATGGAGTTGTCTTCGTTCCTTGTTTCTGGTGATAGTATAACATTAACAACAGCTACAATTATATTTATTATTTTCCTGCATAGATGCCCTAGTGATATATAATGTGACACTGTTTTCTCCTAACCATCTTTCCCCCAGTTGTACTCTTAGACTGTGGTCCACACGATGGAATGTTGAAGAATCACTTGCACTGTGTGATGCCCTTTCTTATTCCTCTAAATTTAATGGAAATTGGCATCCTTACTGCAATGTTCTAAGGTTTTGATGAGGGGGAGGATTGTGGTGGGGTTACTTGTGTGGCATCAGTTTGCTTCTCCTATAAATAACATTTTGTGTTTAGTGAACCCCTCCTCAGATTTTGGTCATATATATTCAACCCTGCAGAAATTGAATACTTTTTTGGGTATTTTTTGCTGGGGAGGAGATTATCTTGCTGGCTTAACAGCTTGAAAATGAAATTTAGACCTGGACTTGCTGGCTTGATTGAATTGATGTCTTTTTGACATCATCAGAGATCTGAATGAACCATAGTGCCCTAACCCATCTATGCTGGACAGTTCTATGGCTTGTGCTCTTGAAAGGATTCACACATCTGGTCAGAGTTGTAAGAGATTTTGATAGTGGCTGCTTGTCAGGAAGCAAAGAAAGTAAAGGTGAAAAGATGGTTTAGAGCAGGGCTGTCCAAATTCTACATGCCCGTGGTCACATGCCCATAGGCCACACCAGGAGCACCACAGGGACACACCTGCACCCCTCCACTGCTGCACCCTGTGCCTTTGTGTGCACCCCCCCACCCCTCTGTACCATGCAGGTGCATGAGTACAATCCTCTTTCCCCCCTTCCCCACTGCTGCACCACATGAGTACAACCCCCTCATCCCCATCCCCTTCCAGGCATGGCCCCATCACTGTCAGCTCCCCATGCTGTCCTGCACCCTGAGATAAAGTTAGGAAGCAGCGGAGGAGGGATGTGGGGAGCCTGGAGATTCTGGCTGCTATTGCAGCAAAAGCAATGAGGGGAAGCGGCAGCCAGGTGAGACCCTGGGGGGGGGGGCACATATTAACCCCTCACTGGCTGCATGTGGCTCACAGGCTGCCCGTTGGACAGCCCTGGTGTAAAATAAAAAGTTGGAGAGCCCACCAAGTTTTTGGTAAAACAAATGTGCCTTCTGATCCTTATATCCAGGATCCTGAGCTGTGTGAGTATCTCAAAATATCCAGCAAGGACAGATTGGCTTGTCACAGATACTCATTGTGAAAGAGATCACAGTCTATTGGGCAGAACGCCCACTGCTTTGGGTTCATGCAATACCTTTCCCAGTTGCATTGTCATGGTGATAGGTAAGGCTTGAGCTCCTTAAGATCTAGAGGTTTCCCTTATACTACAGAAGCTATAGTTGTCTCTTGCTCCCTTTATAACAAGTCACAGTCAAAAAAAAAACAAAAAAAAAACTAGCTACCTACTGCTTTGGATGCTGTTACAAGGTACAGAGAAAAATACAGGTGCTCCTCTAAGAGCCCATGAGGAAGCACTGAGAAGCTTTAACATGGTTGTTTTCTTTTGTTTGCAGTCAAATCTATATCCCACTGTGGGGCTCCAAACTCCAGGCGAGATAGTTGACGCCAATTTTGGGCAGCAGCCATTTGTGTTTGACATTGAAGACTACATGAGGGAATGGCGAGCAAAGATTCAGAGCACCATCAAGAGATTTCCTATAGGAGACAGACTAGGCGAGTGGCAAGCAATGCTCCAGAAGTAAGTATAACTATTTCACTCTTCCTCCTCTTCTTGTGTAAGCTTTAAAATATCACCTAGCCAAGAGTTGCTACAAAACAATCAAAAGGCAGTATCATTCCCTCGCCTGTCCCTGTTCAGTTTGTGTCCTTTTGCAGTCCATGAAATCCTGTTGATACCTAGAGGCAAGCTATTTACATTATCGTCAAGTGTTCCCCTAGGAAGGATTCAGAACTTGGTGTGTCATTACTGCCTACCCTTGCTTAGCCCATTTCCCAGGCTAGTATGTGGAGTTCATTTCAGCAATGATGCCATTAAGGCATTTTAGTGAACAGGGTATTCATTTCAGGAGAAATGTGAATCTGATGTGCTTCTCCATCCTCCTTGATAGTGATCACAATATGTTAGCAACTGAGCCAGCCAGTTGTTGTGAAAGTTTGATAATAGTTGAGGAATGGACAATGAATTCAGTTCTACTTCTGCCACTGAGCACAGCAGGGAAAGGGAGAGAAACCGCAAGTTTCTCCCATGGTAACAGACTTGGTGCAGTTGCATGTTGTCAGTGCAAAAATCTACAAGCTTGAAAATTTACAGGAAGAGAAACGTATTGATTATAATAATCAGATAAACTCCTGTAGTAAATTGGACACTGTTGTAGGTGGTGTGATATGTGCTGTGACACAAGCGATCTCAAAGGGCAGTGGTGGATGATGGGGATATAATGTAAATGTGTCGCATCTGACTTGGAGCCTTGTCACAGTGTAAGCTGCCTTTTGTATAGTTTTCCTCACAGGAAGCAGAGTAATCTGTAACAGTACTTCTTCAAGCTCTTTTCAGTCCAAAATGTTTGCTCACAAAGGCCACGTCCAAACGAACCCAGACGTTTGGTTTCACAGGGACAACTAACAGTGAGACACCTTGCGTTGCTGCTACTTGTACCTGGGGAATGCCCATGTCATGCACCCTCTGGCATGTGGCAAGTTGCCTTGGATGGTGTAGGGGAGGCTGGGGCCAGTAACTGTGCTGGCACCAGCAGCCTGTCCTAGGGGCCAGGGAAACTCCAGCCAAATCGCTCCTGCAGGTTGGAGCCTGGCCGGCAGCTGGAGCATGGTTCCAGCTTTGGGCAGCGCACACTGCCTTCATGTGTACTGCCCTACTTTTTTTTTCTGCGCAGGTTTTTTGTTTGTTTGTTTTTGGTTTTTTGACCCCTGGATCTTCAGGGGTCAAAAAGCCCCCTGTACTGCAAGGTAGTAGTGTGGAAACACCTGAATATGCAGTGTGGGGCACTGCAGATGGGTCTGTGGTATAACATACCACACGGCCACACTTGTTTGGATACAGCCGTAGTACCCAAGCTCAAAATGACATAACGTAAGTGTCTCATCAGGTGGAGAAGGCTAAACCAGAAAACCAGTTGAGGGCACTGGGGAGTCAGCACTGATAGACATATTCAGTGATTTCTGAGGCTGCTGCTCATCTTGAGAGAAATCTGATGAAAAGGGAAATAGATGTTATGGCTTCTCCAGTGCCTGACTTAAAATTTGGGAGTTTACAGTGCTATACACAGTATATAAGGGCTCCCTTGTCTGATGGTCTTAAGTTCCTCAGTTTTCAGGTATTTCTCCTAGAGTTCGAAAGGCCCAGTCTTGCAGAACTTGTCTCTGAGGAGCATTTGCTGTTGTGTTGCTAATACATCTTGTCTGTAAGATGATTTGCAGCCACAGTTGAGGAAGGGTAAGTATGGCAGTAGTTTGATGGGAATTCCCTATCTATCTGCAAGTGATGCTCTCCCACACTAAACAGGTATTGATAGTAAGAGTGTATGGTAAACTAGTATAGCTAACCACAAAAGCTGTGAATCAATAAGTAGTCTGCCCTTTATGTTGATACAGTCCATAGTGTCCATGCGTACTGGTCTTCGTTTTGCATTGGAGAAACTGAAAAGGAGTAGTATGGAACCTGTAGTCTAGTTAGTGTTGGTGACCGGAGTATGAAATTCCAATACCGCTAATGCAGGAGTACCTGAACTTTGCCTAACTGAGATTCCTGCCAGTGTCTTGTTAGGAATTGAGAGCTGCACCTAATTCACAGAAGATTAAAAGGGAACTGCCCTGTCCTCCAAGAAAAAAGTACAGGTCTACCAGAGAAGTGCCAGATGAAGTCGGTTGCGCCCAACTTCAGTCTCTGCACAGACTCTAATCACTTTGTGATTACGGCAGGCAGCCTAAGTGGGGTGTATAGTCTGCTTCTGCTGTTTGTTTGTTAGTAGGTATTTGTGTCTGGAATGCCATTAGGAGTTTCTCAACAGGTTTCACAATTGGAAAATGCTTTTAATTTGGCCTTGGAAAGATGTTTAATAGACTGGCTCAGAGACAACTCCCAGGATAACCTGAGTTTGTGAAAGTCATTAGCTTGCTGAGCCTTAACAATGTGCATAAATCAGTGTGTCAGAAAAGCTAGTGTAGGGTTATTTGATGCATTTTATTATAGACCTTAGAGGAGAAATGTTTCCCGGAGACTTGAGGAGAGCTGGCCCACACTGGAAATATGACACCATACAAGACAATGTGAAGCATTTTGTCATAGGTTAAATACCTAACGTACAAGTCAAAGTAATGAACTGTCACAAAGAACAGGGCACTGTACTGCTCAACAGCAACTTGTTGGCTGTTGATGTGGTGTCAGGGACAAAAACAGAGTTAACAGGAAGACTCTTGCTTTTTATTTACCTTCATAGTATAATTTAAAGATCTGCAGGAAGGAACTGGATAGTTCTAGCTGCTGAATTGAACATAAATGAAAGCCAGCTCATTTCTTGGGTTCCTTCTGACTACTAAGTTGAATTGTTGTATTCTTAGTGTTTCAGCCGTTGGTGAACTCAAGCACTTAGTAAGAGAGATTTGCTCATTATGTCCCAGGTTCCCGTGTTTGACAGGAAGAGTTATGAACTTTCCTTATCCTGTCGATATTTTAGGCTTAAGCTTTCTAAGCCTGAACCTTCTCCCGGCAGGCATTGGGCAAGTGCAGTGTCTGGAATGGATTCATTGGATCACAGTTTTCTTAACTGCTCTACACATCTGATCAGGAATCTGAAAGGACAATGCCTGTATAGCTGTTGGGCTGTTGTATGACAGATTATTTCTGTGGCAGATGACAGAACAAGGAGCAACAGTCTCAAGTTGCAGCAAGGGAAGTTTAAGTTAGATATTAGGAAGAATTTTCTCACTAGGAGGAAAGTAAAACACTGGAACAGGTTACCCAGAGAGGTGGTGTGATCTCCATCCTTGGAGGTTTTTAAGACTCAGCTAGACAAAGCCCTGGCTGGGGTGATCTAGTTGGAAATGGTCCTGCTTTGAGCAGGGGGTTGGACCCAGATGACCTCCTGAGGTCTCTTCCAACCCTAATTTTCTATGATTTTATGATTTCTGATTTTAACCTTGAGATACCTGCAGATTACAGTTTTGTTGCAAACTGTTTTAGAAAAATCTTGGCATAAAATGATTCCTATTTCGCCAGGTTGCACCAAGACTGCCTGCAGGAGAACAGATTGCTGCTTGTGGAGTTTGAGTGCTGGTATTGGTTTCCAGCATGGCTATCTTTTTTATGCACTTTGCTGTAGTGAAGCAAATAGGAACAAAAGATTGATAGCAGATGAGCTATTAAAAATAAACAATGTTTTGGTTGCAGCTTGCTCCTATGTATGCCTTTAGCAGTAAAATAAGGATAGAAAATAGACTCCAGATATTTTTGAGGGATGGGAAGCTTTTTGGAACCTAGAATAGCCCATTTGTTTGCTCCCTATATCCCAAGCAACTCGTTGTTAAAGTAGAGTGAGTATGTTTTGTATTTGCAATAGAGAGCTCACTGCAAGTGTTCAGATACTTAAGGCAATGAATGGTAGTAGTCCCATTGCAATTGACCAAACAGTTTTTAAAAATAACAAACTTGTTAATCAGATTTGAACTGCAGATGTGTTGCTGATTCCTAAAAATATTTCCCTCCTCTGGAGAAGATTATTAGTTTCAAACTCCATTTGGACTCCATCTTCTCTTCGGTCCAGCTGAATCAGCTGGTAAGCTAAGTCAGTCTGAGTGCCAGTTCTTTAGGGTTTTGATGAAGTGTGAGTAGGACTAACATTTAAATGAAAAGGTACAAAATGGAATCAATAAGCAAAGGTCCCCATAGTCACTGGAGAAATATATTTCTACTACATACATTTTCTGGCACTACCATGTCAATACTTGTTTACCTCTAACACTTCAGGATGAAAACACAGTTAAGAAGTCATTAAGGCATGTGTTAAATAACTGTTCGAATTCTAACTAGATAGTAAAGCACCTCCTGCTGGTGTCTGGGAATAAGTGTAATTGTTAAGAAAGCCATACAGTTATCCTTTAAAAGAAAAATGTAATAATCAAAACACAGGATTCTGGAGTTCTTCCAGCTATCCTTGATTGTTTGGGAAAGTCATTATGTCTCTTTGCACTTCAGTTTTCCTGTTTATAAAATGAGGAACCTGCTTGCTTCATTAACAGTAGCTTAGAGCATTGGTAATAGAATACCAAGTGATCTAATATGGGAGATTTCACCCTGCCCAGCTCAGGTTGATTATAACTAAGAATGGAGACCTAGTTATTGGGAGTCTTTATTTGGCATTTCTGTCTAGTTCTTAGTAGACAGGTGTCTAGATATAAGTTAGAAATAAGATACTAGTTATGTTCTAACAGGGCTGAGTTTTGTCATTAAAACTGCATTTTCTAATGTGTAGACGGTTTTTCCCTTTCATGTTAGAACTCCTCTGTTTTATTGATGTATATTGTGCTAGTTGCATTTTGTTTTTTCCTAGCATGGTATCTTCCTACCTGGTTCATCATGGGTACTGTGCAACAGCAACTGCCTTTGCCAGAGTGACAGACACCACAATCCAGGAAGATCAGGCCTCCATAAAAAATAGGCAAAGTAAGCACTTTTCCTTCACAACCATCTCTGCACCCCACCCCTTGTCTCTCTCATTCACCGTAAGGGCCCTTACTCCCTGCAAACTCTGTGAAATGACCTAGACTCCTAAGTGCCTAGATCAGGGGTGGGCAAAATACAGCCCATGGGCCGTATCTGGTCCATGGTGGGTCTTTCTCCGGCTTACGGCGGGTCCCTTGGTCCCTTGGCCCAGCCACAGTCCAGCCGTGGCACATCCTGCCATCCTCTAGGCATGCAGCGCGGGTGGGGCAGCTCTGCAGCTGGACTGTCTTCCTAGGCAGCCCAGGTGGCAGGTGGCTCCTTCCAGCGGCTGCTGGCCCCAGCCCCACAGTACTGGCGGGGACCCACGCTACAGAGCCCCAACTCGGTGTGCCCCACTCCTGTTCCAGGCTCACCTGCCCAAGCTCAGTAGCAGCAGCATGGGGAAAAAAGCTGCTGCTCAGTGTAGCAGGAAAGCAGTCCCTTCCCCTTCTGCTGCCAGCAGTTCCCTGCTGCAGCTGCCCAAAGCCTGGACCAGGCTGCCCCGCATCTCCACTGTCATCATCTCCACCTCCAAGTGGCACAGCAGGTAACTGTGGGGAAGGGGAGGAGGCGGTTTTTCCCCTGCATGGAACAATAGCCGCTTTTCCACACTGCCACTGCTGAGCCTGGGCGGGTGAGCCCGGAGTGGGTGCATGGGGTCAAGGCAGGTACCAGCTGATACCATAGAGCTGGAGCCAGCGGTGGCAGCAGCCGGAAGGAGCCACTGCCACTCAGGCTGCCTAGAAAGGCAGTTGTTGTGCAGAGATGCCCCAGCCCCATTGCATGCCCAGGGGGCAGCAGGACACACCACAATCAGGCAGTGTGGAGCAAGCCAGTCAAGGCTGTGCCGGGGTTCCAGCTGATCCACTCTGGTGGAGGTTAGTCTGGAGTGGGCGCAGGGAATGTTGGGGCTGCCCAGTCCTGGCAGTGATGGGGAGGCACTGCAGGGTGGGCAGGCTCTGAGTTGTGGGTGGGGGTGGCTGCTGATTCTTATATGGGGAGTATGCACGGGGTTCCCATGCACACCCCACCATAGCCACACCCTCCTCCACAAAATCACACACCCCACAAACACTGCACCCACCCACACCCTCACCC